GTGAAAGAAAAGCACTTCTGTGCTTCAGGTGGTCATCATAAGAACCACCCCTGAGTTTTGCTGACTTGTGTCTAACTTTGTATCTTTAGCGCTGTATTTCTGGAGTGATGTTAAAAGAATATGCTTCACCTGGACAGACTGTGTGAGAAAATCTCTTACTGCACTGATGGAGCAAAAATGTCCTTTAACAGAAAATGAGGACTTAAGAAATGGAGACTGACCAAAAGATCACTTGTAGACTTAAAAGTCAAAGAGAAATAAGAGATATTAGATGAAACCATAAGAGAAGTCATAATTTATTATGTTCTCCTATGGCACTGAGTGATCAAAGAGAGAGGATTACCATTTTCTTCAAATAAACACACTAAGGCATGGGTGTCAAAGTAGAGCTTCCTACTCCCAGCGGAGGTGAAATCTCGGCGTTTGTGCTCCAACTGTAGGCACCCGGCAGAGAGGCTTAGCTCTAGAACAGAAAGGACAATAAAGTTCAAACAGACATAATGGTAAACAAAAGCAAATCAGCAACATGACAAAATCAGTCATACCTCAAAAGCCTGTTTGTTTTTTCATGAGAGCTTTATTGAGCTATAATTCACATACTACTGTACAACTCACCCATTTCAAGTATATAATTTGATTGTTTTTATTATATACTAGAGACCCAGTGCACAAATTCGTGCATGGGTGGGGTTCCTCAGCCTGGCTGGTGATCAGGGCCATCTTGCCCAGTCCTGATCGGGGCCAGCCGGCTGCGGGAGGGGCTGTGGGAGGTTGGCCAGCTGAAGGAGGTTGGCTGTGGGAATGCACTGACCACCAGGGGGCAGCTCCTGCATTGAGCATCTGCCCCTGGTGTCAGTGCACATCATAGTGACCAGTCAAGCGGTTATTCGGTCATAACAGTCACTTAGGCTTTTATATATATAGATACAGAGTTGTGCAAGCATCCCCACAATCAACTTTAAAACACTGTCATCATCCCCCAAAGAAGCCCTATACCTAAACTCCCAACACCCCTACTCCCAGGCAAACACTGATTTACTTCCTGTCTCCATGGATTTGCCTACTCTGGATACTGCATATGAACAGAATCATAAGATATGTGGTATTCTGTACTGGTTTCTTTCACCTAGCATGGTGTTTTCAAAGTTCATCCACCTTGTAGTACATGTCAGTACCATATTTCTTTTTATTGTTAAATTCTATTCCATTGTATAAATATACCAACTTTATTTAACCTATTCATTAATTGAATGTCACTTGAGTTGTTTCTTCTTGGCTATTATGAATGCTGCTGCTATGAACCTTTGTATATAAGTTTTTGTGTAAACATGTTTTCAATTCTCTTGGGAACATACTTAGGAGTGGAGCTGCTACACCATACAGTAACTTTATGTTAAACCTTCTGAGGTTACGCCAGACTGTTTTCCAAAGTGGCTGCACCTTTTCACATTCCCAACAGCCATGTACAAGGGTTCCAATTTCTACACATCCTCAACACTTGGTATTAACTTTTTTATTATAATCATCTTAGCGGGTGTAAAGTGGTATCTCATTGTAGCTTTGATTTGCATTTCCCTAATGGCTAACGATGTTGAGCATCTTTCAATGTGATTATTGGACATTTGTGTATCTCCTTTGAAGAAATTTCTATTAAGACCCTTTGCCTATTAAAAAAATTGGATTATCTTTTTATTGCTGAGTTGTAAGAGTTCTTTATATTATTTTAGATACATGTTCTGTATTATATATGATTTCATATATTCTCTCCCATTCTGTGAGTTGTCTTTCACTTTCTTTGTAGTGCTTTTTGAAGCACAAAAGTTTATTTTAGTGAAGCCCAATTTAATTATTTTTTCCTTTTGTTCCTTGTGCTTTTGGTGTCATATCTAAGAAACTATTGGTTAATTCAAGTTCACAAAGATTTACATCTACGTTTCCTTCTAATTATTTTACAATTTTAGCTCTTACATTTAGGTCTTTGATCGATTTGAGTTAATATTTGTATACTAGAGGCCTGGTGAACAAAATTCATGCATGGGGGGGGGGGTGTCCCTCAGCCCAGCCCGTACCCTCTCCAATCTGGGACCCCTCACACAATTCAGGACTGCTGGCTCCCAACTGCTCACCTGCCTGCTGGCCATCTTGTGTTCACATGGGGGCGGCCATCTTGTGAGTTGGAGAAACTGTCAATTTGCATATTACTCTTTTATTAGATAGGATGTTGTGAGAAGGGGGTTCAACTTCATTCTTTTGAACGATGTGGGTGTCCAGTTGTCCCAGCACTATTTTCTCCCTTAAATTGTCCTGTGACTCTGGTAAAAAAAAAAAAAAAATCAATGGACTATAATGTAAGGGCTTATCTCTGGGTCTTCCATTCTATCCCATTGATCTATACTAGTATGTCTGTTCTTATGCCAGTGCCACATTTTCCTGATTACTGTGTAGTAAGTTTCGACATCAGAAAGTGAATCCTCTAACCCCGTTCTTTTTCAAGACTGCTTTTGGCTATTCTGAGTCCCTTGCATTTCCATATGAATTTTAGGGTCAGTTTTTCAATTTCTGCAAAGAAGGCACCTGGAACTTTGATAGAATTGTAGATAAATTTGGAGGAGTACTGCCATTTTAACAATATTAAAGTCTTCCAATTCACACACATGGAATGTTTTTCCATTTATTTATATCTTTAATTTCAGAGTACAAATTTTATGTTTTGTTAAATTTATTCCTACGTATTCTCTTTGATGCTACTATAAAGGGAATTCTTTTTTAGATTCTTCAGATTTTTCCTTGCTAGTGTGTAGAAATAAAACTGATTTTCATATACTTAAAAAAATATATTGATCTTGTATCTTGCTGAACTTATTAGCTCCAATAGTTTTTTAGTGAATTCCTTAGAGTTTTCTATGTACAAGGTTGTCACCTGTGAACAGTGATGGTTTTACTTTTTCCTTTACAATCTGAATGCTTTTACATTTTCTTGCCTAACTTCCCTGGTTAGAAATTCTAGTACAATGTTAAACGGAATGATGAGAGCAGACATCCTTGCTCCTGACCTTAGAGGGAAAGCAGTCAGTCTTTCCCCAACCTATATAATAAAAGGCTAACATGCAAATAGACTGAACGGCGGAACAACCGAACAGCTGGTCGCTATGACGTGCACTGACTACCAGGGGGCATGAGTGGAACTTGGCGGGCGTTGGCCCCGGAGGGATGGTGGAGCAGGTGAGCAGGGCCTCCAGACCAAGGCGGGGCACCGGTCGCTGTCATTGGGATGAGCCTCTGGTGGTTACTGAAAATTTTTTGCTCCCACGCGCTGCAGTCCTGCCCGGCACTGACCCACTGCTGGCGCCTGGTGGCGGCCTTAATCACTTGGCACCATCAGCAGGTGCGAGTGATGGCTATCAGCCCGAATTGCCCCTCAGGGCTCCTCCACCTGCCCCTGCTCCTGAGGGGAGACCAGGGCCAGCAGCTGCCTGCTGCTTGCACCTGCTGCCAGCGACAGCCCCACTCGTACCTGCTGCCAGTGCCGGAGCCACTGCTTGCACCCACTGCCAGCGCCGGCCCAGCTCGCACCCACTGCCGGTCCCAATCACTAGGCACCATCACTGGGTGTTAGCGGCAGCTGCCAGCCCTGACTGCTCCAGGGCTTCTCCATCTCCCCCTGCTCCTGAGGGGCAAACAGGGCAGCAGCTGCTGCTTGCACCCACTGCTGGTGCCGGCCCCAATCACGCCTTTGACGGGTGCGAGCGGGGCCAGTGCTGTCAGTGTGTGGGAGTGGCGGTGGCAGGAGCAGGGCTGCCCATGGACAGGTGACCAGGGGCGCGGTGGGAGGAAGTGGGCGGGGGCACAGAGGATGGGCCGAGACCTGCCCCCATGCCCACAGTTCCTTTCAAAGTGCACAAATTCTTGCACTGGGCCCCTAGTTAAGTATGTTAGCCATGGGTTTTTCACAGATGCCCTTTATCAGGTGAGGCAGTTCCCTCCTAGTCCTAATTTGTCAAGTGGTCTTTTTTTTAAATCATGAAGGGGTGGTAAATTTTTTCAAATTCCTTTTTTGTCTTTTGAAATGATCATGTGGTTTCTCTCCTTTATTTTGTTAATAAGGTGCAGTACATAAATTGATTTTCAGATACTAAATGAACTTGGTATTCTTGGGACAAAATCCCATCTGGTCATGGTGTATACTCCTGCTATGTATTGCAAGATTTGGTCTGCTAGTATTTTTTTTTAATCCTTATTTACAAGAGACATTGATATGTCATTTTCTTTCCTTGTGATGTCTATGCAAAAGCCCATTTTTGGAGAGATGAAGTCTAACGATTTGTATATTACCACTTTTATGAATTTCTGTGCACTTAACCACAGATCCAACCTGTTTTGTATACTTATTTCAAGGTGCTCATTTAAAAGAGGTGGCATAGTAATGGCTTCCTGGCTTTTGTATTTCATGAACCACAATTATAGTTTTTTGTGTGTTTTTTTTTAATGGAACAACTACAGTGTCAATTTATAATTTTGCCAAAAAAGGACATGTAAACGTAATAGCTCCTTACTATTATAATCATACTAAAAAAGACACTTTGATAGCAAAGGAAAAAAAAAGAGATGGACAACATAAAATAAAAATCCTCCATTTAAATGTAATAAACACAGATATGTAAATCTTGCTACATATTTGTTCTTACTTTTCAAATGATGCCAGGTGTTGTAGAAGAGTGGAAGAAGAGAGAACAGTCATCTACTAACTCAAAGTTCAAAGGTTTTCTCAGTAGATCTCCTAAATGATCAGAAAGATACTTCAGCTAATCAACTCCTATTCTCAGCCTTACACACTCTAATAGCAACTGCAAAGTAAGCAAAAAGATGACATGGACAGAGCCCCACGGATTTGATTCTTCTCTGTAGGCCTAGAGCAGTGGTTCCCAACTTACTGATGACTTGGAATGAGTATGGTTGCTGGTCATAGTCAGCATCAAGTAAGATCAAGAGATCCAATAATCACTCTGTAGCACAGTTTGCAGACTGACATAATATAAAATGCAACAATTTTCTATCTGTGTTTAATGGTTAAAAGGAGCCCTTACATTCAAAAAAATCACTAGCCAGACTATACTATAAAGTCCTTAGCAAAGCACACAAAGCCTGTGCCAATTTGGCCTCCACTTACCTTTTCAGCTTTCTTCTAGCCACCTAAGCTATTCTGCCTCCTGAACTTTTTTTCATACTTTGGTATTCCATCTTGAAGCTTGTTTTGCTCCCTTTCTCAACTGGTAAATTTTAAGCACCTTCTTTATCCCCTTCATTTAATTTGACAACTTCCTAAGTCTTCATTATGTTCTGGTTATGATTATACAGTTTATAGTTCTCTCTGCCAACCCCACCCAGGTCAGGGAGCAGCCTTTATTGCTCCCTTATCTGTGTTCTCAGCTAGGTACAGATGGCTCTATCATAGCACTTGTTATATCATTTCCATATCTGTATCATGTGTTAATCCACAACCCCAAGAGCAGCCAATCTTAGTCATTTTTGTATTGTTAGAATCTAGCAGAGGGCCTGCCATACTGCAGGCCAACAACATATTAAAAACAAAAATTCAATTGTATGATTTCTAAGATCTGGATCATGAGACTGTCTAGAACAGTGGTTCTCAACCTGTGGGTCGCAACCCCTTTGGGGATCGAACGACCGTTTCACAGGAGTCGCCTAAGACCATCGAAAAACACATATATAATTACATATTGTTTTTGTGATTAATCACTATGCTTTAATTATGTTCAATTTGTAACAATGAAAATACATCCTGCATATCAGATTTTTATATTACGATTCATAACAGCAGCAAAATTACAGTTATGAAGTAGCAGCAAAAATAATTTTATGGTTGGGTCACAACATGAGGAACTGTATTAAAGGGTCACGGCATTAGGAAGATTGAGAACCACTGGTCTAGAAGGGAATTTTGAGATCCTTTCTCCTCTTATCCTATCATCTTCCCTTTTTACATAAAGGAGTACCTCTTTTTTGTTCCTTTTTTTTCTATTTTTAAAGGGGTGTGGAGAATCACACCGTGCCTCTGCAGGTCCACTCAGAAATGACACCTACCACTTCTATTCATACTTCATTGGCCAAATCAAGTCACAAAGGTCGGGAAGGAGAACCCAAAACATTCAGTGAACAGCTCGATGTTACCCCTTTTCTTAATCATCTGTATCATAGACCCATCCTGCTTTAATGCTCTTCATTGCACTGCTCCCTACTGGATATTATATTTACTTGTTTATTGTTTGCCTTCTCCTCCTAGATCTAAGTTCTGCAAGGTCGGGGTGTGCCTGGTTTTGTTCACTATGTACCTGCAGCACTAAGGACAGGGCTTGGTATACAATAGGCCAGTGATGGCGAACCTATGACACGCGTGTCAGAGGTGACATGCGAACTCATTTTTTTGGTTGATTTTTCTTTGTTAAATGGCATTTAAATATATAAAATAAATATCCAAAATATAAGTCTTGGTTTTACTATGGTTGTAAATAACAAAAAATTTCTATATGTTGACACGGCACCAGAGTTAAGTTAGGGTTTTTCAAAATGCTGACACGCCAAGCTCAAAAGGTTCGCCATCACTGCAATAGGCACTCAAATAACTTGTAGTCACATGGGTCAGTAGTAACACGAATAGTTAATATCTAAAGGTGCTTACTATGTGCCTCACGTGCTAAATGCTGTTCATGCAGTAACTCATTTGAGCCTCAGCTCAATCCTATAGGGGATATAGGTCTATTATGACCCTCATGTTCCAAACAAGAAATATAAGTAAGACTCAGGGAGGTTTAAACACTTGCCCAAAGTCACACTGCCAGTTAGTGGCACAGCCAGCCTTTCGACCTCTGAGAGGCCCTGCTGGGCCCAGCCACTTATGATTAGGGGGCAGAGTCATAATGTCTATGCAGGCAGCTGAGTGTTCACCACATGTGGGGACAGGGCTTGGGAGCATGCTCAGAAGACAGAGTAACAATGGCAAAAATAATAAGGTTGTCACCAATTATTAGGTGACAGATACTGTGCTAAGGGAGGCACATCTGATTATATGCTCACAAAAATCACAGGAGCAAGTGTTGCTCTTTGCCTATGGTCTTTCTTTTTCACATAAATGAGTATCTCTTTTTTCATTCTTTATCTACAGTCCTGGGACAAAAACTGGTCTCATGAGAAGAGAACCTGAATGTCTGCTGACACAAAACAGACCTAGCTCTAAAAACATTGAGTGAGTGAATGAATGAATTAATGAATGCACCTCTCAAGGGGCTCTACACAGGCCACCCCATCCATCATAGAGCTGTTCAGGACTGTGTAATGGGTTAGGGAGCTTGAAAACATTGGAGTCTAGAAGCTGGCTTATGAAGAATGACGGGATTAGTCTACTCCCAATTTCCTTGTTTCGAACAACAAAATAATCTGCACCCCCTTCCCCAACAAAACAAAGCATTATGACTATTTTCTAAGCAAGAGCCAATTCCAACTTAGATACTGCTGATTTTTTTTAAAAAGTATTGGAATTTATTTCAATTGCAAGCTTATTTCAAAGAAATACTGTCATCTGAGAAGTGGAGAAAAGGGCTGGCCACTTCCCAGTTGGCCCTCCAACCCCTGCTGACAGAAGGTGAATGCCAGTTTGCTTTCTGTCAAAGGGTAACAGCAATACTCAGACGTCCAGAACACCTCTGACTCACTTTTCCTCTTTTATTGTGATAACAAAACTGGGCCCACGAACTCTAAATTCCTATTTAAAACCAGGAAGCAAGTAAACCGAGCTATGTTAAAGTGTAATATGAAATTCTCCTTGGGGGACCTTCAGTATATCAAAAGGATATTAAAAACACACACAAAAGAAGCCCAAAGTTACCCTTGACCAGAGGAGGGAACCAAGTACAAATTTCCTATCCATAACATCCTTAAGTCCAAGTAGCCCTACTTAGAACCTTCGGCACCAAACAAACCATTAGGCTGAAGACAAAGGAACAAAACTCTCATTTACTGATGGTGAGTGGGCATACATGATCCTTACCTGTCTTGGCTGTGTTTCCCCATAGTATTTATTAATCCATCCACACTGTGAGGAATGACATAATCTGAGACTAAAACAACATTACTACTTTGCTCATCAAAAAACTGATGAGAAAGAACACTCTCCCTTTTGTCCCATAATCTAGAGTTTTTAGAGGAAAATAAATCACAAGTTTCCAGCTTGTCAAAAAAGAGCACCAAAAGGCAAAGTACAGAAATAAAGTTCAAAGCCTTCTCTAACTCAAAATTACTGCAGGATACTGAGAGTTCCAAATTAGCCAGGTTTCACTGTCTGTGCATTGTCATTTGATCTTTTCATTACTTCCTGTTGCTATGGGGGAAATGTTTGGATGATCTTTCTCCATTGCTGTGGGAGTGGGGTTCTTGGGGTACCGCTAGAATAAGCATTTCCGGAGGCCCCTATGGAGGCTGAGATGTGGTAGAAAGCGTGGACGGAAGGGGCCACATGCGAACCTGACCAGCTCAGGGGAGGCCTGCATGGCCTTACAAACTCAGACCTAAAGTCACCACAAAGGATGGTCTGAAATTAAACTTTAACTGAAAGCAGTGATGGTGGGTAGTCACCTCCTAAGCCGGTATCTTCACTGACAAGGTCTACCTTTACCTTAACTGAGCCTATCTGTCTTTTTGCGTCTATAATAACATACCCTTGAAATGTCTGGGTAACTTGTAACTTCCCTTTTTCTGGACCCCTTAGGGCACAACCTAATGTGCCTGCGCTCCAGGACAAATACAACTAATTCCTTCATTGTTATGTTAATTGTTTCTACACCCACCTAAGTATGTGTCTATTATTTTACCCTGCTTTGCTTTCTCCCTCCTCTCTAGTCTATCACCAATGGATTTCATGTAACCCACCTACATCTGTCCTTTGATTGCAATGTATAAATACAGATGTAGCCTGCCATTCTCTGGAGCATTATCTCAATTCGTTGAGGTTCTGCTTCCTGGCATATGTCAACAGTTTGGCTCAAATAAACTAACAAAAATTCGTTACAGGTTTCAATGGTGTGTTTTTTTTTACGTTAACAGAAGGAAGGCATTTTGTTGACTGATAGATCCCAAGTATCTAGGAAAGTACCAGGCACAGAATAGGAGCTATTGCTTAATTGAAGGAAACAACGAACCCATTAGAGTTTAAACTTAAATTGTAAAACAGTCCCTTCATTCTCCAGAGCTCCACTTCTCAAACATGCAAGCCTTCCGCACACCCTTCATCAGAGTTGCTGGCAAAACAGCAACCTGTGTGCTAGCGCCCACGTGGTAGCTCTGCACAGGGGCGTGCACAAACTCACTGCCCCGGCACGCACCACCTCCCCGCATCCCATTTCAATTTTGCGCCCAAACCCTTGGGCCGGCATTGAGAGTAATTCAGGTCTTCTTAGTTGGCCAAGTCCTGGATACCGAGGACCAGAAGGGCGGGGCCCGACGGACCTTCGTCCCCACGCCCTAGGAGCCTGGTGACCTCAAGTGACCCGACCTCTGGGTCTCCCGGCCTTCCCCCCGGGAGGTCAAAGCCACAGCTCCTCCCCGCCCCACTGTCCCAGCCCCACGGGGCGAGCCCCCTCTCCTCCGACCGCCGGACCCTACCTCTCCGGGCGGAAGCGAGGGCGGGCACTCGGCCATGGCACAGGTGGAGGGGGCCT